ATGAGTTTTGACAAATATATACAGTCATGTAACCACCACTATAGCCAGTATGTGTAACATTTCTGTCACTTTACAAAAAGCTCCTTTGTGGTACACCTGTAGGTTCAGCTACGCAGGAGGCTAAGGTGGGAAGATCATTTGAGCTCAGTAGTTCCAGACCAGGCTGGGCAACAAACAGAGTGAGACCCCTTTGTGCCTCTTTGTGGTCAACCTCTTCTTTCCAAACTCCCTGGCAACCAGTGATCTCTAGTTTAACCTTTCCTAGAATTTCATGTAAATGGAATCATACATTATACAATCTTTTGTGTCTGGCTTCTTACACTTAGCACAGTGTTTTGAGATTCATCTCTTGCACTTAGCATAGCACTTTGAGATTCATCCATGATGTACATATTAGTAGTTGGACAGTTTATTGCTGAGTAGTATTCATTGTTAACAATATCACACACTCTTTATCTACCAATTATGAACATTGGGTCATGTCCACATTTTGCCTATTATGAATAAAATGGCGGTGGTTGGTCTCAAACTGTTTTGTTTTTGAGATGGAGTCTCGCTCTGTTGCCCAGGCTGCAGTACAGTGGCACGACCTCTGCTCACTGCAACCTCTGCCTCCTGGGTTCAAGCGATTCTCTTGCCTCAGCCTCCCAAGTAGCTGGGTCTGCAGGTGCATGCCACCATGCCCAGCTAATTTTTTGTGTCTTTAGTAGAGATGGGGTTTCACCATGTTAGCCAGGAAGGACTCTATCTCCTGACCTCGTGATACACCTACCTTGGCCTCCCAAAGTGCTGGGATTACAGGCATGGGCCACTGCGCCCGGCTGGTCTCGAACTCTTGAGCTCAGGTGATCCTCCTGTGTTGCCCTGCCAAATGTCTTTGTTTAATTTTTTTTAACAATATTTTTTCCTTTTTCTTTAGAGACAGGGTCTCATACTGTCACCCAGGCTGGAGTTCAGTAGTATGATCACAGCTCACGGTAACATCAAACTCCTAGGCTCAAGCAATCCTTGCACCTCACCGTCCTGAGGAGCTGGAACTACAGATGTGCATCACCATACCCGGCTAATTTTAAAATTTTTTTGTAGAGATGAAGTCTCACTATGTTGGCAGGCTGATCTCTAACTCCTGGGCTCAAATGATCTTCCCACTTCAGCCTCCCGAAGTGCTGGGACTCTGGGAGTCAGCCACCATTGGTTGGAGTACGTCTTTGTGTGGACATAATGTTTTCATTTCTCTTGAATCAGTAGTCAAATGGGATTGCTGGTAGCATGATAAATGTTATCATTGGGGAAAAAAGAAGTATGGTTGATCTTATAAGCAACTGCTAAAATATTTTACAAAGTGGTTGTAATATTTTGCATTCCCAAAGCTATTGATTAGGTTCTAGTTTTTCCATATTCTTATCAACACTTGGTATTAGGTTGGTGCAAAAATATCAGCTTTAATTTGAAGCTGTTAGAAGGGTTTCTAATAGGTGTGTGGTGGTGCCCCATTGCAGTTTCAACTTGCATTTCCTTAACTAATGACATTGAATCTCTTTCCATGTGCTTATTTGTAGCTGGTACATCTTCTTTAGTGAAATGCCGTAAAATCTTTTGCCTATTTTCTTTTCTTTTTTGAGACAGGGTCTTGTTCTGTTACCCAGGTTGCAAAGAGACAGGGTCTTGTCCTGTTACCCAGGTTGCACTATCATAGCTCACTGCAGCCTTGACCTCTCAAGGCTCAGATGATACTCCCCTGTCTTAGCCTCCCAAGTAGTTGAGAACACAGGCATGTGCCACTACTCCCAGCTAATTAAAAAAAAAAGTTTTTGGTCTGGGCAACATGGCAAAACCTCTTGTATCTACAAAAAA